TTTCACTGGGCACTTTCGTTATCATTGGCAGTTGCATGTGGTTTTGAAGACACAGCATAGGTCTGACATCTCTGCCTCTTAGAAGTCCCTTCCTTTGGATCTGACTGTCACTCCTGTCAGCTGTGGGATATGCAGTAGGAGTGGAGCCTGGGCTTCCTCAGTCCCAGCTATCCCCCAGTTGATGCCCACTACCCACACGTAGGTGCTAGCAATGTAAGCCAGGTCCCCCTGCATAGTAAGAGTGTGCTCTACCTTTGGGCCACCCTGAGCCCCACCTGGAATGTGGCTCTGCATTGTAGAAATGGGCTTATTCACAGCTGATAACAGCTGATCATGGATGCAGTACTAAGCTGAGTACTCCTGGCCATGAGAAAGGTTGTGTGTCTCCCATCACCAGTGAGGGCCTGCTTCCATCCACAGGTGAGATCTGGAACCATCTTTGATAACTTCCTGATCACAGATGATGAAGAATACGCAGAGCAGTTTGGCAAGGCCACCTGGGGGGAGACTAAGGTAGGCACAAACCATTCAGCTCACTTTTTTTTTTTTTTTTTGGTTTGAGACAAGGATTCACTCTGTAGACCAGGCTGACCTCGAACTCACAAAGATCCACCTGCCTCTGCCTCCCGAGTGCTGGGATTAAAGGCGTGCGCCACCAAGCCTGGCTTTCTTTCTTATTTGTAATTATGTCTGTGCACATGAGTGCAGTGCCCACAGAGGTCATAAGACTGTGTTGGATCTCCTGGAGCTACAATCACCCCAGTTGTGAGCTGCTTCATGTGGGGGCTGAGAACTGCACTCAGGTCCTCCAGAAGAGCAGTATGTCTAACCCATCCCTGTAGCCCTGTTTTCTTGAGAGGGAGGGTGTTGGTAGAGCTTTGGCTGCAGTGGAATTCACCTAGCAGCTTATAGGAATCCATTCTTGTCCCTGCTTCCCAAATGCTGGAATGACAGACGTATGACAGCACTGTCTACATTAGTCAGTTTTTATCGATTTAGTGACAGGGTCTCACATACCCCCAGCCTGGCCTCAACTTTGCTGTCAGGAGTGACTTTGGACTTCTCATCCCTGTGCATGTTTGCAGATGTACCACCATGCCCAGTTTTTGCTGTGCTTGGTTATTGAATCCAGTGCCAGGCAAGCATTATCAACTGAGCTATAAGCACTCTGTCAACTGAACTACAAGCACTCTTCTGTATGAGCCCCCAGCTTCAGCCTGTTTTATTTTTGTCCCTCCAGGGTCCAGAAAAGGAGATGGATGCCGTACAGGCCAAGGAAGAAGTGAAAAAAGCCCGTGAGGAGGATGAGGAGGAGCTGGTGATGGGGAGGTTTCACCGGCACAACAGCCAGTTCAGCAGATTCCACAGGCAAGGCGAACTGTAGTGGTCCCCACTTTGCATGCAGAGGACTGGCCCAGCCTCCCCTCCAATACACACATGAACGATCACACGTCTGCATGGTCATTTGTCAGTTTCTGAAAAACAAGCCCATGTTTGTGGTGGGGTCCCCTAGTCTTCCCCAGATCCCATGACCCTGGTGCATATATCAGGAGGGAGGTTTCCCTCAGCTGCCTATGGGGCACACACCTTTAATCTCAGGACTTCAGAGGCAGAGGCAGGCAGAGATCTCTGTGAGTTCCAGGCCAGCCTGGTTTATATAGCAAGTTCTAGGGCAGCCTGAGCCACATAGTGAGACATTGTATTAAAAAAAAAAAAGTTTCCCCCAGGCAGTGGTGGCCCATGCCTTTAATCCCAGCACTTGGGAGTCAGAGGCAGGTGGATCTCTGTAAGTTTGAGGCCAGCCTGGGCTACAGAGTGAGTTCCAGGAAAGTCTCCAAAGCTACATAGAAACCTTGTCTCCAAAAAAAAAAAAAAAAAAAGTTTCCCCTGCACAGAACAGACCATTAAGAAGCCAGAGACCTGTAAGAATCTGGCCATCAACAATATGCCTTTTTTTTTGAACCTTTTAAATACCATCATGAAATAAAAGATGGTATGTAGCTGAAAGTTTTCTCTCTGGTTCCGCCCAGCCCATGGTCCCAAAGCCGCTTATAAAATAATCACTCAGAAGCTTATATTAATTAGAACTGCTTGGCCATTAGCTCAGGCTTATTACTGACTAGCTCTTACACTTAAATTAACCCATAATTCTTATCTATGTTTAGCCACGTGGCTTGGTACCTTTTCTCAGTTCTGCCTTGTCATCTTGCTTCCTCTTTGTCTGGCTGGCGAGCTTGACTCAGCCCTTCCTCTTCCCAGAATTCTCCTCATATGCTTGCCCCACTTATACTTCCTGCCCGGCTGCTGGCCAATCAGCATTTTGTTTATCAACCAATCAGAGCAACACATATTCACAGACTACAGAACAACATCCCACAGCACTTCCCCTTTTCTATCTAATCAAAAAGGAAGGTTTTAACTTTAACATAGTAAAATTACATATAACAAAACAGTTATCAAGCAAGAATTACAGTTACAATATCTCATCTATTTGTATTTGGCAAATTTAAAGAAAATATTCTTTTTATCCTATATCTGTGAGTCTCAGGTTTCATGTCTAATTTATCTTTTATCATAACCAAGGAAAATTATAACAATCTAGTCTTCAACTACATCAAAGACCTCAGAAGGATATATTACCTAAGCAAACGGGAGGAGCATTGTAAGCTCTGTAAGTCCATGACTGTCATGGACTCTAAGCCTCTGGAGCTGTAAATCCCAATAAACTCTTCCATAAGTTGCTTTGGTTGTGATGTCTTATAGCAATAGAAAAGTAACTAAGACAGTAGCCACTTTGGATAGAATGTGCTGTGTGACAGGCCTGTGCCACCATACGTGGCTATATTGCCTTTAAAAGTCTTTCTGAGAGAGTGTTCCACTATGTAGCTTATAGCTCCTTATGTAGACCAGGCTGGTGTCAAACACACAGAGATCTGACTCTGCATCCTGAGTGCTGGGAATAAAGGCATGTGCTACCACACCTGGCTAAAAAACTTCAAAATTTACAAATTTTTATGGGCTAGAGAAATGAGTCTGTGATCAAGAGCACTTGCTGCTCTTCCAGAGGACCTGAGTTTAGTTCTCAGCAACTACATCAGGCACCTCACAACATCCAGGCCCAGAGGATCTGATGCCCTCTTCTGACCTCTGCAGGGACCTGCATAAACACACATAACATAACTTTTGTTGTTGTTTTCGAGACAGGTAGCTTTGGAGCCTGTCCTGGAACTTGCTCTGTAGACAGGCTGGCCTGGAACTCACAGAGATCCACCTGCCTCTGCATCCCCGAGTGCTGGGATTAAAGGTGTGTGCTAACACCGTCCAGCTAACTTTTTAAAAAAAGATTGATGTCGTGTGTGGTGAGGCATCTGGTCACCCAGCATCCACAGTCAGGATTCAGAGCTGAATGCTGTTCAGCTCACTTTCTCCTGGACTCCCTGCCCATGGAATGGTGGGTCTTCCCTCCTCATCCCAGTCCAGAAATTCACGATGTACCCCAGAGCTTTGTCTCCTACGTGATTCTAGATTCTGTCAAGCTGGCAATCAGGATCAATCATCACAATTAACTCAAGAAATCAAACCAAGTGGGAGTGAATGTGGTGGTGTACATATGCCCTTTATCCCAGCACTTGCATAGTGGTTTGAATGAGAAAATGAGGATGTCCCATGGGGCCAGCAAGATGGCTCAGTGGGTGAAGATGCTTGCCACCAAGGCTAACAACTTGAGTTCTATCTCTGGGACTTACGGTGGGAAGGGAGACCTGACTCCTCCGCGTTGACCTCTGACTACACACCCACACACTAAGTAAGAGTGTAGTAAAAATATGTAGGGGCTGGAGAGATGGTTCAGTGGTTAGATAAGAGCAGTTGTTGCTCCTTCAGAGGATCCAGGTTTGATTCCCAGCATCCAATGTGATGGTTATAACCACTGGAAACTCCTGTTCCAGTGAACCCCAAGCCTTCTGACCGCTATAGGCACCAATGAAGAGATGGTTCCTTGGTTAAAGGTGCTTGTTGCTTTTCCAGAGGACCCAAGTTCGGTTCCCATTCACATCGGGAGGCGCCTAAGTGCTGTTAACGCCATCTCTAGGGCGTCCAACAACCTCTTCTCCACAGGTACAGGAGCGCATGTAGCAGACACACAGACACACACACATAAATGACAAAAGAACCAAAAACAAACAAACCAAAATGTCAGGCCACACCCGCATCTGCAAACAGAATCAAAACCTAAGTCTGCAAGTCTGTTTAACAAGCTCACAGGGTGGTACTGACACCGCACAGGGCCCAAAGTGTCATGGTACTTGTGTCTGTTTCTATGTCGCTGGGAAAAGTTCAGCAAACGCTAAGCATTTGTAAGGGGCTGCTAGAGTAGAGAGGTTAAGATGGTGCCTGCGTTTAGCCAAGCTCAGAGACACCGACCCAGACTGGGAGGCGCACACAGCGCTAGGAACAGGGGAAGCTCAGAGCGTCCTCAGAATTCATCCGCAGGGAGCTGGAGGCCCGCGGCCGGGAAGGGAAGCCTACTGCTCTAGGGTCCCTGCCCTCTAGAACCACGCCCCGGGCTCGTCCCGCCCACTCTAATCAGATTATGCACACGAGACCCCGCCCCCAGATCGCCCACCCCGCCCACTCCAGGCCAGCTGTGCTCCCGATGCCCCGCCCCTGGTCCCCCACACCCAGGTCTACTCTGGATGACAGAGGTCGAGGCCCCGCCCCTTCCAGACAGACATGTGCTCTAGGCTCCGCCCTCGATACGCCCTACCATCTTGCCCGGCCCACTCCAGTTATGCTACGAGAGGGAGCCTCCTCATCAAGGCCCCGCCCCGAGCCAGAAGCGCCCCGCCCTCTCCGGGCTGACTATGCCCGAGGCCCCGCCCCTCTACTGCAAAACTGAGCACGTGAGGCTCTGGATTCCTATCTGCGCATGTGTATTCTTGTACTCTAGCCCGCGGGCCTGTCATCGCGCTGGCCGGGCTGCGCGCGCATCGCATCTCTCCTTCGTCCTAGTGCGCACGCACGGCTCCGCCCCCGCCCCCTTCGGCGCTCGGGAGGCCGAGTCCGCACGAAGATGGCGGCGCCGCTCGTGCCCCTCTCGCAGCAGGTACGGTGCTGGGGCGCGCCGCGGGGTGGTGCGGACGGCGGGTGCTGCAGGAAGGGTGAGGCGTCGCGGAAGCGCGGCTTCAGGGAACGGCGGCGGCGGAGACGCGCGCCGAGGGCTCGGGCGGCGGAGCGGCGGGGTCCGGGTGGCCCTGAAGGTGACAGGCCGGCGCGGCCCGCGGACTCTCGCGCCCGGCGACCCTCCGAGAGGCTGCAAAGAGGTGACGGGGCGCGGCCGCGGCGCGTGTCTGCTCCGGCTGGGGCCCGGCAGGCTGGCAGGGTCCCGCGAGCCGCGTCGCGCTTCGTCTCTGCGGAGGTGGGCGAGGACGGTGGGCCCAGTCGCCAGTCTTTGTCTCCCGCGGGGTCGGGCGTCGGGGCGGATGGCGTCCCTGCGTGGAGCAGCGCGGGGATTCGGGACGCGCCCGCAGCACCGCCGGCCGGCCGGCCCTCTTTCCCCAGGGAGCCGCTTCCGCTGCCCCTGCGCGCGGTGGGAAAAGCGCAGATCTCACGTCCCCACGGTGGGCGCCAGTCTGCGTCCTCAAAGTCGCCCGATGATTTTCTTAAGAGTATCAGACGCCACAGGGACGTGCAGAAAACCCAAGAGAAGGCCTCTGTGCTTCTGGGCAGAGACATTCATTCATTCTTCAGCCCATCTCTCTGACGTGCCTGGGGTCAGGTGCTGGGAGCGCAGCAGTCTCCCACTGACAAGGTCGCTGGTCTCCTGGAGGTGACACTCATAAAAATTAGAGAGTACGTCTGTCCTGCTAATTTGCCAATTTGCCCGTTTGTCCTCACAGCATATTATAAGCACTTGCTTGAATCATCTTGCACGGGGTCATAGTTACCATGAGGAAGCACCTTATGTTCATCTCTTGGCCCCAGCTCTTTCTCTTTCTGAGTGTCCTTGAAGCAAGCTTCTTAGCCTCCGCAAACATCAATTACCTCATTTGGAAAATAGAGCTTTAAAATGCATTAGCGGAAGGTGAAGAACAACTATGGAAAGCACATTTTGCCCAATGAATTTGGAGCTCTTTTGTTATCATCATTAAATTTGGGTGTTTGGGACTAGAGACGACTGCAAGTAGAAATGCCTAGGCCGGTAGGAAGTGATAGGCAGGTTGGTGCATGCTCTCACCTGTCCAGAGGAGAAAGAAATAGAGTTGTAAGTCCTATAAAGAACTAGCCACTCAGCACCCTGCCACTAAATTAACAATGTGGAGACCAGTGGTTATTAATTAACATGTACTTACAGCACTGTGACTGTGTCCTGTAAATGGTTAAGGACCAGGCAGATGTGAGGTATATGTTGATATGGAGCCTTGCTATGTTGCCCAGGCTGGCTTCCAATTCCTGGCCTCACTCCATCCTCCTGCTCTAGGCTTCCAAGAAGTTGGGACTGCAGGTGCTTGTGACCATGCCTGGACATAAGGTGTCATTGTTAGTAGGCAGGTACCACAGTGTAGGCTCAGGGGAAGGGATGTCTCAGCTAAGCCCATTTAAGGAGTGAGTGCTCTTGGCTATGATTTCTTGATAAAAGTGTGTGTATGTGTTCACTCCTACCTTGGATGTCCACCTCTTTTGTGACAGGTGGCCTGGAGTTCATCAGTTAGGGCAACCTGTCTAGCCAGCAAGCCTGTCTCCTCCTCCTCAGCACTTAGATTACAAGTGCATGCTACCATGTGGCACTTGTGTGAACTCTGGGGATAGAGCATGGATCAGGGCAAGCATGTTACCAACCAAGCAGTCTCCTGCCCAGGCACTACTTCTGGCTTTTGGAGGAAGGTCTTTTCAAACTTTCTAATTTTGACATTAGCCATAATTTGGATTTTTTTTTTTAATTTGGGCTATGGTAGTAGCTGATGGTTATTGAGTATATAGGAGTTGGATACATGCTGTTAATTTTTCCAAAACACCAGAATATCAAGGAGGAGGTTGATGTTGTTGACTCTCAGCTAGCAACCCAGAAACAGTTCTAGGCAAGCCTGGGCTATGTAATGAGACCCTGTGTGGGGAGGAGGGGGAGTTCTGTTTTACTGATCAAGTAATTGCAGTGTAGGATGGTGTTTTTGTCACAGTGAGGTGACTGGTGTGAGAACATGAGTCAGTTCATGAGATTCACCTTCTTAGAACCTGCTAGAGCCGGGCGGTGGTGGTGCACGCCTTTAATCCCAGTATTTGGGAGGCAGAGGCAGGCGGATCTCTGTGAGTTTGAGGCCAGCCTGGTCTACAGAGCGAGTTCTAGGATAGACTCCAATGCTACACAGAGAAACCCTGTCTCGAAAAAACAAAAACAAAAAAACCGAAACAAAACAAAAGAATCTTCTGGAATAGAATCTGGATTTTTTTCTCTTCCCAGGTGTGCACCAGCTTCTGACTTGCTTGCCATATGCTATCCTTGGTACCACGATGTGGCCAATTTTCTGCTCCTTGCATAGTCCAGCTGTGTCGTCATGGTGTCCCTGAGGGTTCTTCATTCTTCCTGAAGCACTCTAACCTTTTCCCCTTTTGTGGTTCAGCTCCTGGTTCTTTCCTTTCCTTTAGTGGCAGCTCAGATGTCATTCTTCCCAGAGGCCTTTGCTAGTCATGGCACAAGGCCATGTGTGTCTCACATGACCCCGCAGCCTTCCTGCTAGTCCTCAGAGACTACTTGTCTGTTTGCTGTCTCTGTCGCCAATGGGAGGACAAGTGGGTAGTGGGGACTGTGGCTGTAGCTGTAGCAGTTCCCTGTGTTGGATGGGTTGTGGGTGGGAACAGGAGCAGTTGAGATGGTGGCCTGGCTGTGGCTCACAAGTTCAGGTTATGCCTTCTAAGCTTCTTTCCCTCCACGCTTGTATTTTGTGATGATTATTGTTGTTTTTGTATTTACTTAGTTTGTCCTTGTGTATGTATGTGTGTGGGCATGTGTACCATGGTGCATGTGGTGGTTGGAAGACAACTCTCCTGCATTGATCCTCCATGGGAGTCTCGCGAGTCTTGCTGGTTGTCCAGGCTGGTCCCAAACTTGTGCTGATTCTCCTGCCTCCGCCTCTGGAGGCCTATGATCACAGATAATACCTGGCTGCTCCTTATCCCCTTGTTAACAGGCCTGGTCCACAACTCCCTCACCTGCTGCTATAGGGGCAGTGTGCTGAGGGTTCAGGGTTTCACACACACTAGGCAATTTATTCACTAAGCAATCCTTACATTTATGTGTGTGGAGGTCAGAATACAACTTAGGATTTGGTCTCTATTTCCACCATATGAGTCTTAGGCCTCAAACTCAGGTCATCAGGCTTGGTGACAAGCATCGTTACTTACTGAATCATCTCTCTGACACTAAGTTGCCCAAGCTGGCCTTGTACTCATGGCAGTTCTCCTGCCTCACCTTCCTAAGTGCTAGGGTTACAGTGTGAGCCACCTGCTCAGCTTTTATACCTGCCTCCCCCTCTTGATTTATTTACTTATACATGTGTGTGTTTGTGTGTGTGCGTGCCTGTGTGTGCGTGCCTGTGTGTGCCTCTGTGTGTGTGTGTATATGTGTGTGTGTGTGCCTGTGCCTGAGTTACATGTAATACATGTGTGCAGGTGCCCATGGAAGCAAGAAGGTGTTGGCTTCCCTAGAACTGGAGATACAGGCTTGGTGTGCGTTCTGGGAACTGAACCTAGGTCCTCAGTAAGAGCAGTAAGTTCTCTTAAAGGCTGAACCATCTTTCTACCCCTCTGTACCTGCCCTTGATGCTCAGACCCAAGTTACTATCACCCAGGTGTAAGGCAAGGCCCTACCAGGCCCTTAGAGCCAAGCCTTGGAGCTCACATAGGATCACAGGGAAAACAAGGGAAGGCTTCTGGGATGCCATTTGGATGGCTGAGGTGTTCTGAACAGAACACTTCGGTGTAGTTGAGCTTCCAGCCACAGGACCAGTAGGAGTCTACTGCTCTTTCTCCTCCAGTCCCAGGGGATGTTTCCTGTCATCCTCTGTGTTCCTGTCCCCAACACTTCCCTGACCATCAGACCTACAATTCTGCCTCCACCTCTCAGAGCCGATTGCACATGAGTGCCAGCAAGCCCAGCCTCGACCTTGCTTTCCCTTAAACCCCAGGGACCCTTTCTGCTCTTTCCAAGGCTATGGGACAGAGCCTAAGGCCTTGTGCACAGCCTCCTCCTTTGTTCACTCAGCTTCCTCCTCTCTGGCCAGGGGCTTTTGGCTTCTCCCACCTCTCTGTCCTCCTTCCTTTCTGTTCTTTGGTCCCAGCCTCCATGCTCAGCACTCTAAACCTGCCTTTTGCAGACGCTCCTGACATTGTCTCCCCCACCCCTCTGGGGCCTGCTGGACTCTGGAATAGGCTACTTCCTGAGCCTTGCAGTTCTCTGGGGGCATGAGTCTTATTTCCTCCTTTTATTCCTAACACCGCTGTGAGATCTTCTAACCACTCCCTTACTCCAGAGCCTTCCATGGCTCTCATTCTCTTGGTGAAGGGTTAGGGAGTAGCTCAGTGGTAAAGTGCCCGCTCTCTCAAAGTGAGTCTGGGCTGGTGAGCCAGCACCTCAGTCCCACTCTGCTCGGCCTTGTTGACTAGCCTTGCTATTCCAGTCTCATGTCCTGACCCTGGTCTTCCACTCACCAACAGGCTCTGTCACCCCCAGTGCACTGGGAGACTGCTGACTTCCCTTTTGCCCTCCTGGATCTGAGATTTCATTCTGCTCACTGTCTTCTGAGTCTCCTGTTCATAGTCCTAGCCCTCATACTGAAGGTACCCTAGGCTGAAAGAAAGCACCCGGTCTCACATCCTACTTCCAGGGGATCTGGGGATACTTCTTGAACCACGTACTGTGGTTGTAGGTTTTGATTATTTCCGGTGCTGCAGATGAAACCCAGGCCCTTGCATTTGCCAGGTGGTGCTTTACTGGCAAGCTGTGTCCCCAGCCCCTCTAGAAAGATTCTGTTTATTGCATGGAAGAAGCTGAGGCCCACAGTAGTCAGGTGACTTGTAAATTCCCATGGCTGTAGGTGCCACATTGGAGTT